TTGAGAAAATAGCATACTAATGTTTTCTAAAGTTGTTTAATTGCATTTCAAACAGGAGATATGGCATTTAACTGAACAATTAGCTTTTGTACTATAGATATTTGACACATCTTCTAAGCACCTCAAAACATTAAAGTATTGAAAATATATGAAAAAGTACTTGTATTAAACAAAAATGTTGAATTCATGCTGCCAGTCAGTATTGTAGTATTTTTGTCAGAAACTTATTAATTGAGATTCAAAAGAAGTTATGTTTCAGTCCACCTTGCTCTTAAATTGCCAACAGTAGAGTTAGTCGTTAGAGTTCAGTATAAACTATATAAACTGGCGATGTCTTCGACTGGAGCCCAGCATCTACTATATAGCATTGCTGCTTACGTCTTGCCAATCAGAAGGCCAATCGCAATAACTGAAAATATATTTCGATTGCTCAAAATTGTTGTGCATTATTGCGCGCGCACACACAGACACACACACACGCATAGCCACTCATATGCACTTTGTTGCTATAAGTGATACTATATACTAGATATATTGCACTTTTCTGCTTGCACATCTGCATTTTTGGTTCGGAGCGTTGCCAGCAGCGCTGTCTGTGTCGGCATCTTTATTGGCAACCCTGCTGACGTAGCGACGCAGCTGGTACGCAGCGTGCGAGGAGGGGGAAGAGAGTGAGCAGGAGAGGGAGAGGAGAGCAGCAAATTGCTTTACTCTCTTCATAGCAAGATAGCAGAACTGCACAGCTGTGACAAGTGGAGTGAGCAGGAGGGGTGGGTTATGGGCGGTGCTTGCTTGCTAGTAGTAGTAGTAGTGGATAGTAGTGAGTAGTCAGTAGTCAGCAGTCAGTTTGCAATCAACTGGCGGCATAGCAGCTTAAGTGATACAGCAGCACTGGCACTTGCCAGTCTTCGTCTTGCTCTTCTTCTTTCAGAGCTGTTGCGCTGCTGCTGCTGCTGCTGCCTTCTTCTGCTTTCTTCTTCTTGTTCGCTGCCAGCTGTCGTGCTGTGCACGAAAAGTGTTGCATAAGCGCCAGGCGCTGGCAGAATTTTTCCCTCCCACTCTCCCTCTCTCTTTATTATTATTATGATTATTATTATTATTGTTTCATAAGTATTTGTGCCGAGCGAAATGTAAACGTGTCCCACCCGCTGCGTCTTTATTATTAATACACACACACACACATACACATGTACATAAATACATGCCTACACAAATGCAATCATAGTATATGCGCAACATAATTGAAAATGTATGTGTGCGTGCTCTTGCGTGTGTTGTTTTTATTTTTATTTTTTTTTTGCTGGCTTGTATGCGCGTCAATTTCAAACGTTTAAATCAAAACGCATGCCTGAAATAAACGCCAATCGTTCGCTGTTGCTGTTGCCTTTGCTGTTACTGTTGCTTTTGTTGTTATAGGCGCCGTTGTCCGAAAAGACAACAATCAACTCGTTAGAGTTTGCATGTGAAATGCAATCGTCTAAAAATGCACTGCAAAAAACAACAAAAGCAAGAACAACAACAAAACACTACGCTAGCGCCAAAAAATAAATAAAAATTCAAAAAAGCGCGCGCGCTCTTCACACAAAATAAAAAAAAAAAAACGAGAAAAAACCAAAGTGCACGCAAAAATTTCGGGAAGCTGCGAAATTGAGGGCCAGCGTTGTGTGCTTTGCAACGGCACAAATAAACAATAGAAATAGCTGCAATAACAACAACAACAACAACAACTAACAACATCTCACAGGCGAGGCACAGTGGAATCAAATTGGTCCACACTTGCATATACTTGTATATAGTACGAGCATTTGAATTCTAGTCGAAATACCCTGCAAATCGGCATCTATTTATTTGAGCTTTCCCTACACTGCAATATGCAAGAACTATAACCTGTTTTTCGGTTTAACCGATTTTTACTATATATCCGTTTTATAGTATAGCAGATACGGACGACTTACAGCAAATTATTTGTTGATAAAGCTCCTGGCTTGCAATTTAGTTTATAGGCTCACTTTAAGGTCCTTAAATCTTTTATTCAGGAATAGATGAGAAACCGAATATTTTTGCAAATAGCCGCCATATAGCAGATTCGATCTGAAATCTGAGAGTAAAGATGAAGTCAGTATACTCTGTACATAAAATGTACAAGAGTATATTAGGTTTGCGGGTGCTGAAAATGTAACAGGCAGAAGGAGGCGTGGCAGACCCCACAAAGTATATTGATCAGCATGACGAGACGAGTCGATCTAGCCCTGTCTGTCTGTCCAACTGTCCGTCTGTCCATCCGTCCGTCCGTATGATCACCTAGATCTCAGAGACTATAAGAGCTAGAGACACCAAAGATGCACAAAGATGCCTTATGTGTGTACGCTATACGAGTTTGTTTTATTTTTTTGATTTTCCCCCCCACTTCCCCCCTATGGGGGTTTTCCCGATTTTCCATTCGTATAATCGCTTATATATCGGAGACTATAAGACCTAGGAACACCAAATTTAAGTCCCAGATGTCTTATGTGAATACGCAGAAAATGTGTATTTTGGAATTTCCCTCTCTCCCCCGCAAATCGTAACTCCCGTAATTCTTGGAATTTCGAACTCAAACTTGGCAAATACCTCCATTTAGTTATTATAAGTCCAAATTTAACAGGAAGCTATAGGCATATATGTACATAAGACCAAGTAGTGCCCGCAGCTGTTGTTGTTGTTACTGCTTTGCTCAGGCACACGAGACATACACAGGCACACACAAATACACACATACTTGTACACGCATAATTATTCTACAGATATGTACAGAGTATTTCAAAGTCGGGATACCCGACATTAGCTTCTCTACTTGTTTTAATGCAGTATTTACGAGGAAAGTGAACTTATATGCCCTGGACAGCCTCTATAGTTGGCACAAGCGACAAATACTGATCGTAAAGTGCAGTAAGCTTGTGGAGAGTTGGACCTCACAGATGCAGCTCCTCAGTTTCTTCCCGTACCATCCATAGATCGGAAATTATGCACCCATTTATTTGAGCGTTCCCTGAACTGGACAGCCTCTATAAATTGTTTCTCGCAGTTGCTGCATTTCGGAAGGATATTCCTTATTGGCACAAGCGACAAATACAGATCGTATAGTTCCTTCCATTTCGGAGATAGGCCGGAAATTATTTGCATCATCGATGCAATAGCAATACAAGAAGTAAAGAAAACGCCCTTTCGATTCGCGATTGTGCTTTTGAAATAGCGACCATTGTGCACCATTGGGTTGCCATCCAATTGATGTATCAATCAGCGTGGGAAAAATCATTTTCATTTTGTGGTGCGTTGCGATTTGTTGTTGTTGTTGCTGCTGCTGCTCTTTTTATTATTCTTGTTGTTGCTGTCGTCGTCGTTGTTGTTGTTGGTAAGGGTTGTGAGTTTGATGATTGAAATTGAAATATTGGGAGCGGCCTGAGTTTTTGAAATTAAATTTAGCGACTGGCCTGCAAATTTTTCTATGTCTACTTGTATGCTTTGCAGATGCCGTGCGCTTGGCCTTGAGGCGAGGCAGCAACAACAGCAACAACAACAACAATAAGCAAATGGATAAGCAAGAAGCCGGTGGCGGCCCATAAAGGGATTTTCAAAAATGTTTGCCTTCGTTTTTATTGTTTGCTGCACGCGCTTCAACTTTTGGGCTGCGTCTGATTGATTTATGGGCAGAGTCATAAAAGCAGTTCTCCCAGACCTCAAGCAACTGTCCAGGGGGTGTTGGTGTGTATGTGTATGTGTCTGCGTGTGTGTATATGTGTGGGTGTTTATGAGTGCGGTGCAGCTATCATTCACTGCTTGCTTTTAGTTGCGCCACAATTTTCGGCATTATGACAAAAAATATTTTGCTGCTCTCCTTTTCTTCTGTGTTTTGTTTTTTTGTTTTTGCATTGCTGCTCAGTTTGCTCATCCAGCCCGTTAATAGCTTTAATGCCGTTTTATGGCCAACGCCTGCTGTTGCTGTTGCTGCTGCGGCTTGTCCTGTGCCAAGGCTAAGACTTGCAGCACGCACAGACTTGACAAGCCTGCCAGCCTGGCCGGCAGAATTTTGAGGCACGACCGAGCGACCACATGCATGTAAAAGCGGATCAGCCGGACAGCAGGGGAGAGGGGTACGCCCTGTTGTTGCAACAATGTGAGCGCAGCTCCCTCCCCACACCCCCCAAATTCCTGTCCCTCCCCTCACCAAAAAAAAAAAAAGAAAATATTATTCGTTGCTCGTCTGCGCTGCGAAGTAAATCATGAGAACGACGACGACATTTGAAGCAGGCGCATAAATAAATTGGGATTGAAATTGTTGAGTAGGAAGCAGCAGCAGCAGCAGCAGCGGGCGGGGAAGGAAGGGTAGTGGAGGAGTCTGTGTGTGTGTGTGTGCTGGCATTTGTGTTTTTGTAGCACAGTGTAGATGAAGCAAAGCCGCGCGCTCTTGGCGACGATGGCGATGGTAAAGCTCATAATTCCAGCTTTTATTTGTGGGATTTTGGCATGGCATGTCAGTCAAATGTACGGCTATATATGCATACATGTATGTATGTATGTGTGTTGTGTATCAGTGTGTGTGTGTGTGTGTGTGTGTGTGTGTGTGTGCTCGCCCGCATATGTGTGCGTGCACGACGCATTCGTAACGCTTCCATTTCAACGCTGATTAATGGTTTTGTTTTCTCATTTGGCCCACTGACATGCAACCGCAATGCTGCTGCTGCACCGCTTGCCCGAACTAGTTCTTTATTTCGCGAACTACTCGAAACACAAGACATTTGATGCACATCTGAAAACAGCTATGAATCGCACTTGAATCTCTACGCCCTTCTACGCGCTTCCCACAGCAAGCACTTAGGCCTACTAAAAGGTTTGCTGCTCCATTTTTTTGTTTTTGTTCAGCGATCTAGTTCCGTACCCCTTCATCGCCATACTTCAATCAGCTATGTTTGCTTCCCGCACTAACTTGTCATGTCTCTCTGGCTCTTTACGATTCTTTGCAGCTGGCTACACAGAACTCAACTCTCGTTCGGCGACACTTGAGTTGGCAACATAATCGCACATCATGCGATTTGTCGCCGCTTGAGCAGGAAGGAGCAGCAGCAGAAGAAGAGGAGGGACGTAGCACCACAACAAGAACAGCAGCAGGAGCAGAAGGAGCAGCAGAGAGCATTCGAACGACTCGATTCGACGACACTTGGGCAAGGAACCCCACAGATTTTTGCGAGCCGTTGCAACCGCCCGAAGTGGCGCCCATCAAAATGTACCCGGCCGGAGGAACCACAGCAGCAGCAGCCGCCAAGTTTCAGAACCGATCCGCCTCGCCACAGTTTGCCAATTTTGTGCCACCACCACCCGGCGAGTATCCCTCACAGGCGGGCAGTGGTCAGCTGGTGGCTGCCGCAGCGGTGCACAATGCGCCCGGTTCCATGTCCATGCGGCATGCGAAGAGCAACAGTGGCAGCAGTGGCAACAGCACCACCCTAGCCGCTCATCGCAACATGGCGATGGGCGTGCTCGGCACTAGCGGCGGTGGTCCCGGCCCCATGCAGCACATGGCACACGGCGCCGCCACCCTCGGCCATCATCGTGGCGATCTGATCTTTCCCGATGAGATGGACAGCATTGAGTTCTGTATGCCGGCGCCACCGCCCTCACAAAATGGCGGACACGCGCACGGCCTGAATGGCGAGCTAATGCTGCTGCATGGCAGTGGCCATGGCGAGGCCTTCACGGAGCGACGCCGACGGGGCCACGGTCGACGCAGCAACCACAAGATGGATGTGGAACAGCAGGTAGGGGAACAGAATCAGTTGGGAAAATGGAAGTGGGTTTCGATTTCGGTTCCGAATGTCCTTAATCGGAAATAAATTGAACGTTTTTTGTTTTGTCACACATCACATTTTATGTGTGAAAAAAAATCACTGTTTCAATTACTTCGAAATATGTTGGAACGTTGGGATAGGAACGAAATCGTAGAAACTAATTATAATTGAATACGCTTCACTTTTAAACACTTTCAGATAAGGTTAGACCTATTAATTGTCTTGTTTCTTTACCAAGAATATACTGTTCTTACTTTGTTTTCTTTTTATGGTAATTATTTTTTTAGAAAATCACTTCCAGAAATACTTGGAACAGCTAAAATAGAGACCAAGTATTGAACAGGATAGACCTATTGATTGATTCGTTTCTACTTATATCAACAATTCTTCCGTTCTTTTGTGGAAAAGTGAAAAAGGAATTGAAATTGGATTTTTTTGTCTACACTAAATAAGTATAGATCTATTGATAGTCTTGTTACCTTACCAAGAATCTACTCTTCCTATTTCGTTTTCATTTCATGGCACATACTTCAGAAAATAAAATACTTGGCAAAGTGAGAATAAATTCGAAGTATAGAACATAAGTTGGAAATGGGTACGATTTATGTTTGTAAATGCAATTAGGATAGACCTATTGATATATTCGTTACTACTTACGAGCATATCAACAATCTGCTCTTCTTCTATTCTACTTATTTATACGAGTAATTAGTTTCTTTGGAAACAGTTGGAATAGTGAATAAGGAATTAAAATAAGATGCTATTAGAGAGGATTATCTATGATCCCAAACTAAATAGAGATATATCTATTGATATCCCCGTTACTCTACTAAATATCTAATATCTTCTTCCATCGCTTTCAGGTCAAGTGGTCGCGTAAAAATATTGCAGCCACAATGGAGCGGTTTGAGCCCACCACACAATCGTCCTCGTCCACCTCATCGCTGGACTATGGCTTTGCCGCCGGCGTAATGACGCCGAGCAGCTCGACGCCCTCGCACCACAATGCCAGCAGCGGGGTCGGTGGTGCCATGGCAGCAGCCCCTTTGTCCTCGACACCGTCCCTGCATGTGGCCTACAATGGTGGTGCCGCTGCCGCCGCGGCACCCTTTAATCACGTCTATTCGTATGCTTATTACGAGCCGGGCGCGGCCAAGTGCCACACGAATGTGCCGCACAAGGAGGGCGCAGTGGCTAATGCCGCTGCGGGTAATGGTTCCGCAAGCACCGCTGGCATGAGCGGCCTCTCTAAGAGCCCGCCACGCAACTCGATACGCGCACTGCTGGCCAAAAGCTTTCGCTCCAAGTCGTCGCACAGCGGCCAGTCCACATCGTCATCGCCGAGCACCGAGGACCGTGATCGACACACATACACCACACGCTACGGCACCACCGAGAACCTCTACGAGGAGGTGAACGAGCAGAAAATACGCAAGGTGTTGTCCGATAATCGCATTGCCACGTCCAATGCCAACGGCAATGTGAAGGAGGAGCAGCGTCGTGTCCAGCACAACCACTTCCGAGTGCTCGACGAGCTCAATTTATCGCTAGAGGCATTGATAATGCCACCGACGCCACCGGACATCAGTCCCAGTCACGGTGGTGCCGGCGATGATGAAGACGATGGACCGAGCACCAGTGCAGCGGCAGCAGCGCAGGCCAAGGTAACAGCAGTGGCGGCGGGTGCCACCGCCCAACGGCCGCGACGCGGTGGTTTGCTGGGTGGTGCTGCCAGCGCTGCTTCGACTTCGGCGACGCAACAGCACGCTTTGTCGCACGCCAGCCTCGAGAATCTCTCGACCACACTGAACTCCATGGAGCTGAAGGATCATGCGCACAGCAGCTGCATCAATCCCGAGTTCGACGAGGGCGATCTGGACAGCGGCTTCAGTGGCAGCGGCAGCAGCAGCGGTGCCAGCTACAATGAGAGCTTGCGCTATTATAAAACAGGTACTCCAACAAACCATAGCCACAGCCAACAACAGTTACAGTTGCAGTTACAGAATCAGAATCTGAGTCTGAATCTGAATATGAGCCAGAATCAAAACCAGAACAACCACCACCACCACCAAAACCACCATCACCACCACCAACAGCAACAATTACAGCTCCAACAACAACAGCAACAACAACAGCAAGCCCAATTGAACCTGAACCTGAACCTCAGCCAGAATAACCACCTTAACCATCACAGTAGTAGTAACCACCACCACAACCACCCCAGTCTCAGTCTCAGCAATAGCAACAACCACAGCAACAACAACAACAACAATAACAATCTTATGCATACAAGCACTTTGCCACACAATCTAAGAAGTTGTCGCTCCTCAACAGCATCCGGCACATCGACCTCGAAGAGCAGCATGGCCTCCTGTGGCGAGGATCAGGGCATCGCAGGCATGGGCATGATGCCGCCGATGGGTGGCATGGCTGGCAACGTGGCCGGCTGTGGCATTACGGATGCCTCCCTATCGCCCTTCAACTATCCACGTCGCTGTTCGGCGGACACTCAACGCGCCTCGTCCCGTTCCATGGCGGCAGCAGCGGCGGCGGCGGCGGCTGCATCATCATCATCGGCATCCACAGCCACCGGAGCGAAACCGAAGAAGAATTTCTGGACTATAAAACCGTGATGCTACAAAAGAGCGTTGCGTCACATATGCAAGAAATGGAGCATTGTTATGGTGAGTTCAATAATTTTCAATACCTCATTAAATTGGTGAACCACCAAAGCCACCAAAGCCACCTGAACCACCCATACCACCCAAACTACTCGGAACTTCTTTCGGGTTGATGTTATCTAAAGTATACTAAGCCATCAAATATGCTAGTCTTCAATGAATTTTGGCGTAAGTCAGACCCGCCACTCTGATTGACAGAAATGCAACCACCTTTAGCAACTCAAACCACCACCACTCCAATATTCACTATTTTTTTTTTTTTAGTTTACGGGTAAATCGAAATTAATAGACCGTTGAAATTTTATTTGAAGCTGAAATAATTCTGCCAACTTGAACCACAATTGACTTCAAATCAGGCGAACCATCCCTCTGAAAAGCAGGTCTTTGCTTTAGGAAACTTAGCTTTAATCGAGAAACCACATACTCCTTTTCTTTACTTTACTTGTAATAACCCGAACTTTCGAATGAAATCGCTTGAACCACCCCTCTTTACTGATTATTGTAAATTTCAACTTTAATTTAAAATAATGAACTGCAATCAACTCGAGGCGTAGCTTAAGGAATTTGCAAGCCACTTGAACCACCCGAGCCACCCGCTTTCAGGTATATAGCAGAGATAACTCCCCAAATACTGCATCATAGAAGCAGTGCCTTACTGGTTATAGGCGCTAACTCGAATAAAGGAACCTCAATGACATTGAGCCACCCCAACCACCTCCTCTTAAATGAAACTATTTACTGCTTACTAAGCATTGAAAATTCCCATTTTAACTTGAAAAATGATACCACAGTCATTATGAACCACCCGCTCTTAAGTAGAAGCAAGATATCCTTGAACATTAGGGTCATAGCCTCCCAACTGAAGGTATTTGCAGCTTACTGAACATAATTTAATTGGTATCGAGAAACAGCTGCCACCTTAAACCACCTTGAGCCACCCCATCCACCCCATCCACTCCTCCGATCAAATGCCGCCTCTAACTGGGCAGGCAGCATCAATTTCAACTTTTCAACTTTAATCATAATAAATTTGTGGCCAGGCTCCATTTCAATTTCCCATCAGCCATCAGCCATCAGCTCGACAATCAACGAGCCACTTCCGCTGCCCGTCGCTGCAGCGCCGCATTATTCCCAAGATAATAAATTTATTAACAGCAGCGGCAACAGCAACAACAACAACAACAACAATAGCCACACTAGCGGTATCATCATCAGCATCATTATCAGCAGTCGCAGCGGCGCAGAACTTAAGCAAAACCGCCGCTCTGCTAGTGGTAGTTGTGGGACTTCCGCACCACCAACACCACCACCACCACCACCCTGAACTCGCAGGCGCTGGTGGCAAATGAATCAATTAAAACTGATTGAACTACATAGATTTATTTAATTTTTTTTTTTGCCATCATCGTGCACTCAAAATAATTCATGAGCGTAAATCTGGTGCAAGAAACTAGGGTAATGCCAGCTCAGAACTGGCCCTGGCCCTAGACTTGCCACTGCCACTGCCACAAGCACTGCCCCGTTGGTCTTCCGACACATATGCCCCCATTTTTTCGTCTTCTTCTTTTTTGTTTTCTTGCACGCTTTCCTTTGTTGACGATGTGGATTATAATCCAGATGCAAAAGATGTTGCCACCCCCACTGTGCAGGCAGGCAGGCCGGCCATTAAAACGCCTGTTGAAATGTTTGCAACCACCCCCCACTCCAGGAGCTAGAGCTACAATCCCCCCCCCCACATCACCACCACCACCACAGACCACCTCCCATCCAGCTCCCGTGAAAAATGCATGACTAAAGACGCTATTGGACTCATTTCTGGGGCATTGTAATGTTGCGCTGCATGTGCCCCGATTATCGCATAGTCGATGAGCCACAGCAACCACCCACCCACCACCCCTGGGCCGTCGACCGACCACTGAACGCTACTAATACCGTTATTCATTGCATTTTGTTATAAATCTGTCAATTTGCACAATTGTGCGTGCGTTTTATGCATTCGTCAGGGTCAGCTATCGGGGAGGAAGGCCTCTTCAATCCCTACTGAGACAGAATGAGATAGCCAAAGAGAGAGAGAGAGAGAGAGAGGGGGGAGAGAGGGGAGAGGGGGAGGAAGAGCAAATAGGCTGAGTACTCGTAAACTCATATAGCGCAAGTTTTTGGCACCATAAAAAATCTGTCGCGAAAACGCAAAGTGAGAGTTGAGTGAGAGCTAGTCTTGCAGCCAGACATGTCCATTGTCAGTGGGCCATTATTGCGGCTGTTGTCATCTGCCCTGATTTATGCTCGTCCGTAATGCCCGTACGGATATTCGAAAATGTGCCGAGGCGCAACTAATTCGACTCGAGCGCTAAGTAGCATGGGAAAGGGAGTGCCTTGAATGCTTAAATGTAAGTCACTGACATTGAAATTGTCTGCGAAACATTGTGTGAGCAGGACTGACTGCGAGAAAGTCCCACAGAGAGAGAGAGAGAAAGGTAGCGAATGCATTCACAACCTAAATCCTTCATTTTACCGTACAATTCAATTAGGTGGTGTCGATTGGATTCAATTTGCATTCGAAAGCAGTTGCTGCATAGAGAGTGTATTCATGAGCATTCCGAATATTTGAAGAATACTCAACATTATGAGTGAAAATTAAAAATAGTGAGTGTATTTACAAGCATTCATAGCAAAAGTTAGCCGTAAAGGTGATACGTTCTCTCTTTGTATATACTTATATCAGATCAGATATAAGTCGTAGCCAAGGTGGCAAAGAAATAAACATGTTATTCCAAATAGTGAGTGTATTCACAGCCTAACAGAAGCTAACACTTTTGTAACCATAAGTAGATTCGAGAGTAGGAGAGATTCAATTTGCATTTCCAACGAGTTGCTGCATAGAGAGTGTATTCATGAGCATTCCGAATATTTGAAGAATACTTAACAATATTAGTGGCATTGATTTCATTCAAAATAGTGAGTGTATTTACAAGCATTCATAATAAAAGTTAGCCGTAAAGGTGATACGTTCTCTCTTTGTACTCATCTTTATATCCTTATCGGATATAAGACGTAGCCAAGGTGGCAATGAAATAAAGATGTTATTCCAAATAGTGAATGATAAAGATATTATTTAAGTGAGTGTTCTCAGTTCGAATTGGCATTATCATTGAAATAAGTCGTTTCAAATAGTTCATGAATACATATTTTGATGAATGAATTGAATAGTATTTATGAACTTATTGTTCGTTGGTTCAAAACTGGTCGCTCTCACCTATGTAGATGCGTAGTTATGCAGAGTTCTATTAATTGAACATTAAAATCTGTCTTAACTCTGTCATTATAGTCTTATCAGTTCATTCAGAGTCCCTTTTCATATAATTTAATTTTCTGGTTGGCTATGATTCATAAACATCCATATGTCTGCACAACCTCACCAACTCATTCGCAGTCTATTTTAGCATTCAATGTGACTCGTTTTCATTCACATTCGCGTACATTGCTGCATGAACAACGAATCCCATCTGGTCTATGGCTGTGGCTAGACAGACAGGGTCGTACTCACGAGTGGGACTGGGACTGGGACCGGGGAACCCATAGAACAGGCTGCTGCCCTCAACAGACGCCGCAAACTCAATCTTAAAACGATTTGCACAGACGATTTGACAGCGCGCTAACAGGCGAGCTCATTCGAGCGGGTCCCGACGAGCGAGAATCGTTTAAAACTTTCCATCCAGCCAGTCGGCCAGCATTGATGACAATGGCACATTTTAAACTAACGCCGGCTAATAAAGCAAAAACTGAAATGAAATGAAATCAGAGTAGAACCGAAATGCCAAACGTCTGAGCCAACAAATATGAACGCATTCCACATGGAGTGTGTGTGTGGCCTAATGGTTGGGGTGGGGGCTTGGGTTCGGTTCTGGGGTCTGGGATCTGGGGTCTGGGGCCTGGTTTTGGTACGGCCCGGACAAAGCCGGACAATAGCGCATATATTACGGGTCACATATGCAAGGAAATCGGGCATAAACATTCACTTAGCAATAATAAAAGAATGAGGAATGGCAGAGAGCACCAAAACAGGAAAAAAAAATGAGGAAGAAAAAAAAACGAAGCTGAAGCATTGAAAGGCAGAAAGGAAGTCAACATTTCTATTACTGTGAAGTGGCTGGGGAGGGGAGGGGGGACGAAGGACGAAGCTAGACGGTGCGCAAATAGAAATTTGTCAGTTTGTAGTAACTGCCTTTGTTGTTCTTGTTGTTGTTGTTGTTGCGTCATGGCAAGTGCAGACGATGGCCTTGCCTGAACAAAACAGTCAGCCATAATAGAGTGGAGGCCGAGAGTCAAGTCAACTAGAGCGTAGTCGAAACGGAATCGGAGACGGAGACGAGACGGCTCTGGAGTTAGGGACGCAGGGATCGTACTCGTATGAGAAAAGTTCAGTTCTCGGCCAAATGCAGCTCGGATTTGGCCAAATGACGCACAAGTTGCTATTTTCGATAAGCAACCGCCATTCGAGGACATTGTCGTTGTCGTTGTCGCTGGCGCTGTCGTTCTCGAGTCGACTCGACTCGACTTGACTCGAGTCGAGTCGAGAGATTTTTCCATGCTGATTAAAATTGAATGATGGACCGGCAAGACAGAATGAGAACAGAATGGGCTTTGGCTTTGGCTTGGGATTGGGATTGGGCTTGGGGTAACCAGCCAACCAGCCTACCATCATGATTGTCTGCCTGCCTGCCTTGGCTGAGTGACATAGAAATTGCGTCTGCATGGAGCCGTCATGCCCTTCAACAATTAAACAAAACCTTAACCCGCTAGCAAGCGAACTGGCAACCAAAATCAGTTGACGTTCCGCCATTTCAGGGCTAAGCAAATTCGTCTGAACTACTTATTATGCATCCCAAGTTTGGGGGGTTCTGAACCTTCTAGTTCCATCGTGTCTTCATTGAAGCCTCTTGTCTTGGAGCAGTAGCGGAGCTTGGAATTAGAGCTAGTGGAGCTGGTTCTTCCAAGCAGTCGAT